TTAGCTTTAGAATTAACTATTAATATATATTAATCATTATCATAATTATTAATAAATTATTAATTGTGATAATTATATATATAATAGAATTAATTTTATTTTTTTTTTATAATAATTGATCAAATAAATTATTAATTGTTAATTATTAATTAATTGAGTAAATATATTAATAAGATTTTATATTAATACTGAAATTATTAAATATAAACATACAGAAATATGTATAGTAATAATAATTAATATATTGTCATTATTTAATATTTTAGATCATATATAAAATATTATATAATATAATTTTGATAATTTTTATATTTCCTTTTATATTTTATTTATAATTTTATTTTTAATTATTTAATTTATTTAATTTACACATAATTTATTAAAAACACCAATTAATTTTTTTAAAATCACATTATTTATTTTATTATAACATTATTGAATCTAAATCTATTTTATTTTAAAATAATTTCATTTAATATTAATTAATATAGTGCTAATGTCACTCTAATTTAAATTGTATTATTTAAATTAAATTAATATTACACTTATCATTTCTTGACATTACACTTCTTTTAAATTAATTTTATAATTGTTTTTAAGTAACATCACTCATCATATAGATCTGTATTACATTTACATGTATTTAAACAGATGTAATTTAACTTAGAATAACAAAAATCTCAGTAGTAATTTTGAAAGTAATAAAAGTATAGAAGTTAATTAATACTTCTAAATAATCTTTTGCTTATTATTATCTTTAATTTATTATTTAACTTATCCAATTAGTGAAAGTTATCTTTTATATTTCAATAAATCATTTATATTTTTAAATTATAAAATACTTATCCAACTAGTGAAAGTATTAGAATCTATTTCTTTTTAATACTCTCTCTCAACTATTTAGTATCTAACCCTCTCAAGTACACATAATCATTATTATCACTCTTATATAATTCTTAATTAATTACTATAATTAGTTAATATTCTACTTATTAATATAAAAATGATAATAATATTATTATTTATTAATTAATAATTATTAATATGGATATTTATCAAAAATTATTAGAGTTATTAATTAATATCAATATATTAGAAAAATATTTATCAATTTTTACAAATATAATGATAATTATTAATAATATTACTCTTAATAATTTCTTGATTGTGACTAGGATATATAATTTCTATATTAAAAATTATTAAAAATATGTGTTTTAATAATTATATATTTTGACAATTTCTCTTACTTTCTAATAATTTTATAAAAAAAACTTTTTACTATATAAATAAAAAAGCAAAATAAAATAATTATAAAAAGATATATAATCAAATTTTTCTATAATTATTACTTTTTGAATTTTTTATAAAAACAAAATTTGGTAATTATAAAGAGAATATGACTATAAAGGAGTTTTTTACTATATTTATATGTCAATAAAAAAGCAAAATAGAATGATTATAAATAGGTATAATTATAAATAAGCATAATTATAAAGCAATTTAACTATAATTATAAATATATGTGATTATAAAGAAATTTAATTATAAATTATAAATAAAATGATTATTTAATTAGTTAAAAAATATTTAGAATAAAAAAATAATTAATTTACTTATTGAAAGTTTTATATCTTTTTATATTAAAATATAATATTTAACAAAATTATTAAATTATATATGCAATTTTAATTATAAAAAATTTTTGTATTAATTTTACAATTAGAATAATTTTATTAAATTAAATCTAAAAAATTCAAAAAAAATTTATATTAAAATATAAATTATAATCTTTGTATTAATATAAAAATAAAAAATATTTATTAATAAAATTGAAAACTTTTATATTTTAATTTTTATTATAATTTATTAATAGAATTACATATATAATTTTATAATTTTATTGATTATTATATAATTTTTTCTAAATTTAATTTGATAAATTTGTTCTAATTGCAAAATTATTGCAAAAATTTTATTTAATTAAAATATAAATTAATTATAAAAAATTTTTGCAATAATTTTGCAATTAAAAAAATCCAGAAAAAATATAAATTAATTATAAAAAATTTTTGCAATAATTTTGCAATTAAAAAAATTTATATTAATTATAATTTTTATTTTGATATAAAAATAAAAAATATTATTAATAAATTGAAAAATTTATTATAAAACAAAAATTTCAATTTTTGCTATATTTTATTAATAAAATTACATGCATAATTCTATAGTTATTATATAATTAATAATTATTTATAATTGACTTCCAGTATTAATTTATACTCATATTCTAATTTTATTATATTGGTTAAACTATAACCAGTAACAAATTGAATAATAATTCAATATTTATAATTTAAAATTTATAAATGATAAATAATTACAATTAATTTTAATATGTTATTTTGTAAGTAAATTTATTTATAAAAATCAAGTTTTTTATTGCAATAAAGAAACATATATAATATGTTATTGAATAATTTTTATTTATTATATCATATCTAAAATATAAAGATATAAGCAATTATTATTTTTTTGGATGATTTTTTTTGAATACAAAAACAAAATTAAAAAAAATAATAATAATAAAATATCGATATTTTATTGAGCAGTCTTAAGTAAACTTATTCTTCATATTTCAAAAAAAATTATACTTATCATTTTAATAATTTTTATTAAATTGTAACAAAAAATATTACATTCAAATATTCATTGAAGCGCTTATAATTGTTACAAAGGTTTTACGACATTGCGTGTGAAAAATTTTTATTATCTTTGCTAAAAATAACTCCTAAAACTAGGGACTACTCTTCATTATCAGCAAACTTCCATTTGGGGCTGAAAATTTTGATATAGGAAGCAAAATTACTGACAAAAGACCAATTAGAATTTGGACTGGTCAAAGTGTACTTCTTAGAACAAGATCATCAAAACGGATCACTTTCTTGAAAATTTATATGCTAAGCGAAGCAGTTCAGTTATCAACTTAAAAGTCAATAATTATGGTGATGTAATAACGCGCATGAAATTTAATCTCATCCAATGCAAACTTTAAAGTCTTATGTCCAACTCAAATATCACACAATTAAGTTTTCAAAAACCGAGAAAAGCTTCAAAAATACGATTTTTCTATCTTGCTATCTTGTGTACAATTATTTTTATTATAGTACAGAAGACTTATACATAGATTGAATGAAAATCAACAATTCAATTATTATGGAAATTTCATAGTTAACAATTTCTTGCATGTTTACACATATGAAAATTGCGTTTTTTCGAAATAAAATTGATCATTTTGAAGTAAACATTGCTCATGGATTTTTTTATAACTAGTCTATAAAAAGAATCCGGTGAGCGAGACGCTAACTTTCACTGGAAACTTTCTAAGCTGTAATTCGGTATTTTTCTGATTAATTTTAAAAAGGCCGCGGGAACTTGAAATATATAGTTTTGAATGTTCTCAACAGATGTCTGATAATCGTTTGTAAACCTGTCAAAAACCTGTTAGTTTTATCGTGGCACAATAACAAATTTAACGTTAATTTGGTAATCTTGCTTCGAACGATGATGATTATGATAGGTATTTGATTTTCTAATTTCCTCCCAGATCACCACGATAATGCAGGGAGCTTTGTATTACGTCATGATGCACACGGGTAACTTATTGAATTCTATGACTACATTAAACTGTGGAGAATACGTGTCTTTTAATCATAGTGTAAAAGGAAACGTACACAGATTACAACATGTCGGCAAGAAACGCCAAAAGCACGCACACATTCACATATACACACACGCATATCCTTGTTTCTATTCTATAGAGAATTCTAGATCGAGTCACTATTATAAATCTCACGCAAATCCTTTAAGTTTTCGTTTTATATTTAACGCCAGCAAAAGTCAATGAGTCATTCATAAATATTTATCGAGAAACAAATCTTCAATGCAGAATAAAGTTTGCCAAGCGACTAATACGTATTTTCTTTTTGCTGGTATTTATAGAAACAGTAATATGATAATGATAATGATACCAAAGAAAATGGAAACCGAAAACGTTAAAATGAAGATAAAACAGTAAACGTGCATACCAAAGACAATAGGGATCGTAAATTTTGTAGTAGGTTTTACATAAGACAATGCTATTCGAAAATCTTAAAAGGGTTATTCGAACACAAAACAGCGACAATTAAAATGAACATTCTTGACACATTTCTTTTTTTCTTTCTCTCGACATTTAAATAAAATCGAAACAGAATGCAAAGAGCAAATGAGATTTCGCTTGAAAACGAAACCTTCTCACCCAAAGAATATGCAGTTACTGCAGGAAAAAAAGGCGTAGTGTAACAAATCTATTCTATTTATATAAAATCAAAATCGTGTTGTTTGTGATCGTCATACAATCAACATCAGGTGTTTTTAAATAGAAAGAATCATAGACATAATATATTTACTATAAACGATGTATCTATGATTTTTTTCTTTTCTTATTAGTTTCTGCATGATAAGTGGGTGGAATTATTAATATATAACGATCATGTATCTCACTTGACAATAATTATCACTCATTGTGTGCTATTTTCCGTTGCATATAAAACTTGTTCTGCAACTATCCGCAGCTCCAAAAAGACTCAAAAGGAGCTTGGTGTTTCATTCTTCGTTGGGGCTCTTTGTCGTTTACCTTTTTTGGCCTATTTTTTTTTATTTATTTTTCACCTTTTGTATTTTCTTGTTTATCTTGCTCGTCCTTTACGATCGCGTTCCTTCGCTCGTCATTGTCGACTTGTTATTGCTTCACTTGTCGCCAAATAATCGTCTATTATTATAATATTACCATTGCAATTGTTCTTATTTCAATATAATAATTGCAATTAATTATTAATAATATACTAATTAATAATAATTCATTAAAAATTAATAATGACCTGGCAAGTTTCGGTGCTTTGCATAATTTATCCACTTTTACTTCTGATTTCGCTGTGTATTTTTGGATTGCTTTCCCGATGGGTATACACTGCAAACGCGTATCTTCAATCAATAAAAGCTGCAACTGGAGGTTTTATTACCAATAAATTACCATTACCTATTGATATCTACCTGACATTTGCTCTCGGCTTCATAACGCTCATTCTATCGGGAGCTGTGTGTGTGCCAAAAATATCAAGGTCTTATGGATTTCAACATGGACTGCTAATTATCAATGGTCTTCTTTCGCTATTCTGGCTTGCTGACTCAATCTTGATTGTATTGAGAGCAGATAATGGTTCAATGATTGACAAATATTTCATTGATACTCAGATTTTCAACAACACCTTTTACGATCACAAATACGATACAGACCCCAGTTATGAGAAGAAGCTTCAAGAGATTACTGTTTTGGGAACTATAGTAATGGTCATGTCTTGGCTTCAATTCTTTTTACTGGCTTTGACGATTGTCGTAAAATTCACCGAGAAACAACAGGATGATGATCATCCAAGCTCATATGACAAAGATGCACCCGAATTAGATATGGAAGCGACGGATAATTTGACACTTGTGCTGGACACTATGAACGAGAAGAAGCAACAAAAAATATCTAAAAATAAAATTGGAATTAAAAAACAGTCTTCAGAAGAAGAATATGCAATGGCTAAATATAACTTCCGCAATCAGGAAGACACGGATTTCAAATTTAAGGTACGCGTTTTTTATTTCGTTGGAATGTATGGAATGCAGAAAATTTATTGATTGCTTAATTGTTAAACAGATCGGTGATAGAATCCGTGTAGTTAAACGAACCAGAAAAGAAAGTGATTGGTGGACAGGGGAATTCGATGGTAAAGTTGGACAGGTATGTAGTGTGTAAAAGATTTATGTTGAGTCATCATAAAAATACTAATATTACTTGTATGAAACAATTTTCTAGTTCCCCGGAAATTACGTTCGACTTTTATAAACAGTAACAAGGGAACCAATAACCCCTCCGTCCACAAAACTTCAAAGACGCGAAATGAAATTTTGTACAAAAGAAAATATTTCGACTATTTTGAACACTTTTTTGTAGATTAAATATAAAATGTTATGACTTGTGTTTTTTGGTGTATAGTTTATATAATATTAATATTTCTGTATAATGTCTCATTAAATATTTTCTTTTGGGTATGTCGATTTATATTTTCCGCTTATATATCCATCTTTATTTAGAAATTTGATATTCCAAAGAGCTAGTTCAAGCAAGGAAAAGAAAAGTAGTTGTATTTCTAGTGTTGTTTTCGCCAGTCATCGTTATTATTTATATAAAGCATTTTCGCTAAGAATAAAATGCTATGAGGCTTTCAATTTATGTGCATATATTTAAGAATTCGAACTTATATATACAGTCACCCGGACCGGATACTTATAACGAAACTCCCGGTGTGAAAAAGTAAAAAGATCCTTATGAAACAAAGGTAATTTTGAAACAAAGATAATTTTTAAACAAAAGATCTTTTTTCTTTGTTATATCCGAGTTCGTTATATCGGGGCTTGATATATACCAAGTCGTCTTTTCTTTTCTGTAGATTATTTGTTTTAGAAAGCAGTGAAGCAGTCAAAAATTTTACGTATACAGTGATCGTCGATATAACGGATTGAGGTCCAGAACCGTCTATAAGAAACTAACGGATTTTTCACTAATACTAATTTCCGTCATATCAAATATTTTAAAATAATCATTATTTTAGGATTGCAATCACCAAAGAATCTCAAATTTACCTTGGTATGTTGCATTGTTTTCATAATCTTTACTTTTCGCACAACTACCTTTCTTTCCAAAGATGCAACAAAACTATGAAACCGATGCAAATGGTGTCGCGAAACATTGTTGCCTTAGAACCGGAAACCTCGAGTGTTTTAGATTTACATCTTGAATATAAACAAATTCTTGACCAAGTTCAAATTTCACACACATACACGCGCACACTTTAATGCGCTTTTTTGTTCGAATGATTTGTTTTGAGAATTCGGATTTTGCAGTTGCTAAAATTCTTTGAATAATTTGATCTCAACCTTAATGCTAAAATTATGAGAATATTATAATATTAGAGTAAAAAGTCCAAAGTAGTCAACCGAAGAGATCATGAATATTCGTAGGAAATTCGGTCTATCGAGACGGGTTACTAAGAGAAAAATGGCATTATAAACGGAGCTCGAGTAAGAGATACGCGAAAGGTAATGAATGCTAAATGCTACTGGTCCATTTACAGGTAAAATTACGCGTTTTTGCTCTTGTATATTTCATCAGAACTACAGTCGACTCTCGTTAAACAGACCATCTGTTTCTTCGAGTTGATTATGTATTTTTAATTAACTCCCGTTAATCGAAGAAACATATGGTCTGTTTAACGAGAGTTGATTGTATATACAAGTGAAACTCGATGAACCGAATAGGTCCGAAGGATTAGTAAAATTTTGAAAAGTTCGTTTTATCAAGCTTACTATCGGAATGCTTTAATCCGAAGTTACTTCGGCTTATCGATCTGTATAACAATGTCAGCATGTAGGTGCACTTCGCTCCCATGAAAAATCCAAAAGCGGGATAGTAAATTATTATAGTCCCGGAAATTTGGGTTTAGACTCAAATTTCGGTCTATAACAATAAGATCTACCAATTAATGACGTAAAGATATTAAGTAACAATGCCATTGAAGTTTTATCGTTATATTAATTTATTAACTAATGCTAACGCTAATTACACGTATCATAACGATAATGATTGATAACAAAGAGGAATTCTTTCTCTTTCCATTTTGGAAATAAGTTAAATGCACGAATACGCCAATAGAGAGCATCGGCAGGTGAAGGTGCATGATTTCAATAGAACAACACTACTAATAGTAAAGATGTGGGGGGATTGGTAGATAGGTGAAACAACTTCCCCTACTTTCAAATGAATAAATATCGACAGGGTTTTGGTTATCTTGTAAATACGATCCATCATTGTTTTCACGCCTATTAGAATAAATATGACACACATCGAGAGCACGTCAACTTCAAAAATACATTTAATCGAGGATCTGATCGCGAGCAAAGATGTCGCATTTTTCCCGTATACTCAATTCAGCAACATCACACATATAAGTCCTGGGATTTATGGTTCGGAATGGGATGCCAAATGGACGACACGAAATATTAATGTACAACTAAAAAGCTTTAATCACGTTTTTGACAAACATGACGAAGCGATACAAAAATTTATTAAACAAGTATAAAAAATTAATTAACTATGTAATTTGAGATTGAAAATCATAAAATAAAAATTCTGTTTATTGCATATAAAGTTGCGAGAAGTTGCCAAACTTCCCCCTCACAATAATATCTCGACCTTTCATGGTATTACTAAAGGTATATACATACATACATACACACACACATATATATCGTCTTGTTATTTTTACTTGTAATAAACTCTTTGCTGCTTACTTAGACACCAAGAAGCAAATGTATTTTGTTATACTCGAATCGACAGCTAATGGGCTGCCACTACCAGAATTCTTAAAAAGATCGACTACACTTTCCTGGACAGAAAAATTCAAACTAGCCAAACAAATATCTCTCGGAATCCAACATTTACACAACAATTCAATTGTGTTTAAAGAATTGGTAAGTTTAATTCTGAGCACAACAAATGCACAAATCAAAAACTAAATGCTTTTTATATAGAATACTTATCGTGTTATTGTGGAAGAAGGAGAGCTTAAAATTACGGGCGTTGGTTTATCCGCGACAAATGATTCGTCGGTGGCACAAACACTATTTGATGGTTCTCAATTATACAAAGATCCATGGATTCTCCAAGATTCCGCCTACAAAACCAAGAAAAGTTCAGATATCTATAGTCTAGGTATTATATTTTGGGAATTGACTAGCGGGAGACGACCTTTTTCAAATGATCCACGAGAAATGTCAAAACTAACGACAAGTATAATGAACGGGGAACGAGAAACGCCAATAGCAGACACACCCAAAGAATATTCGGATCTATATCAACGCTGTTGGGAAAGAAACGCGGACAAGCGTCCATCGATAGGGCAAATTGTTCAAGCGCTTTCATTAATTGAAACAGGGGATGCGATATTTAAAAGAAGAGATTCTGAAGATAGATTTGAATTTATGGAGACAATAGACGAAATAGACAACCAGAGAGACGATATTGTTGACGACGACGACGACGACGACAACAATAATACTTCACCCTACAATATGGAAAGCGAAGCGACATTTGAATTTGTTGAAATTATTGATGATAACGCGCAAGATCCAGTAAACTATCAGGCTTTAGTTGACGATGACTCTGAGTCGATTTATGCTCGCGGGAGCGTCTATTCACAATTTTCTCAAAGTTCACATCATCATAGAACAACTGCTAGAGAAAGAAAAATACCAAAAGAATTTGTGTTTTCGGGTGAGGAAAAAATCGGACGAAAATGGTGGCATTCAGTTTTATGGTGTATTTAAATTTTCATTAGCTTTGCTCAGAACTCTTTCCGCTTAATTATGTAAATGTAGTGTAGATATAAAATTGTAATTAGTACTAGACTTTTTTTTTTATTTAAATATTAAAATGTTTCCAAAATTTGCATTCATTGCAACAGCTTACCAATAATATTATATTTACAATATTTTATATTGATGAAATGAATTTATGTCTAGCACTAACATTAGTAGCAAATATACAAATCAAATTTTGATTCGTTTCGAGACAGCCTCGTAATCTTTCTCCTTCCAAATTTGTTTAGTTTTTTTGATATTTTCGATTGCTTCTCGAATACTTTCCGAGTCATGGACACTAAAGATTTTCCTTCCCACCAATATTGAAAATTTTTCTTTAATCTCTATCAAAAATGTTCTGGCACGATTTATTCCGTCAAGCGATATTTTGATATTTCCTTTTGCATCAAGCACTTTTGATATTCCATGATCGAAAGTAGCGAGATCTTCTTTCACGAATTTCACATTAATGTTCAGTCTTCTGAGTGTCGCTTCATTTTTATCGAAAAAGCTTGTCAAATCCAAAAACCCGTTTTGCAAATGATATTGATGACCAACATAGATATTCTCTGTAAGTATCACTGCTTTGTAGACAGTCTCAATCAGATCTCGTAACTTTGTGGTCATGTCAAGAATCTTTTTGGTCCTATCAGAGAAGTATGTTGCATTTTTTGTGGAAAGAATTAACCCGCTCTCAAGATTTTCGTTGATTAAGACGAGTTCACTTTCAATTTCGGCGAGTTCCTCTTTTCCAATGTTGGACAGCTTCTCGGTTGCAGTGCCGGTTGTGTATAATTGCTCGCCTAAAATGGTTATGTAGGTTTGGAGGGATTCTTGGTCTTGGATGTTTTTTGCGCGCGACAGCATCTCTGAAAAAAATATCGTATGCTCTCGTTGTTTCAGAATAGAACTTGAAGCTATTATGATTTTATATTATTATTATTATGGATTTTGAGATCTGTATGTTATTTTATAGATAGCTAATTAGTTACCTGGGATTTTTATTTCATTCATATAATGAGCTATTGATGTTGTAGTGTTTGCAAGCTTTCTAAATATCGGACTATCGATGGGGATGGGCTTCTTTTAAGATAGAATAGAAAACAATTAAAAAACATTTATGGATAAAAATTAACTAATTGAAAATAAAAATTTACCTGAGAAGATATCAGATTCAAAAACTCTTGTCGAAGGGAAATCTTCAGAAAAGGAAGTTCAGAATATTTTATGCACATTAAATAAAAGCAAGAAAAACATACTCACGTCATAATAAAATTTAGAACCCAATTCAATCGCTAAAAACAATACCAAGAAAGAAACAAAATTCCAAAAAAAGGATCGTAATTTTGATACATTTTGGCTACGGCTAAGTGTGTGATTCGCGATAGTAGAGCTGCTGCTCGATGTAGGTTGTTTCTCTGGCAATTCCGAAGGCGAATCGTCTTTAATATATAGTTTATTGATACCATTGAGGAGTTCTTCAATGAGAAGACCTGCTGGTTTCTCTTTTTCGATAGCAGGATTTATCGGGCTTTCGGGTAGTGTCGGGTCACTATCTTCTTCTTCCTCGTCTATGGATGTATTATCATCTTTCTCCTGTCTTATAGAATTGGCGGATGAAATGTTAATTGTCCGACTATTCGTCGTGTTCTCGTCGTCTCCCTCCTGGCTTCTAGATTCGGCGGATAAAATTTTATTTGTCGGATCAACTGTTTGACTATTTGTCGTGTTCTCATCGTCTTTCTTCTGGTTTTTGGAAATTTTTAATTTTTCCACTTTATTGCTGATACTGGTGACTGGATCATTGACTTCGTATTTTGGTGTTGTAGTTGCGGAAATATTGGTTTCAAAGTTGGATGTTGATGGTGGAAGCGCTAAATTCATGGAAGGTGCCTTAGGTTTGATGTTCTTACGCTCCATTTTTTCCCTAAATAATAGTGTAGTGAAAGAAAAATTATTTTGACAAAAAGCCGTCATCAAAAACGCATGTGATCTAATTATTGTGTGTTAACAAGAAAAAACGTGTGCATAGCCAATTGGATGAGTCTGGTACAAAGTTTAGAGGCTTGGATTTTCTATCAACAAAAGATCGGGGTAACTATTGAGTGCATTTATGTATATAGCCCCCACCCGATTTAGCATCGCGTATTTCTACTGTAATAAAGATTAAGGTTAAAGAATGGTTTTAAGATTAGGGTTAGGGTTACGGTTAGGAATGGTGATCCAAGTTATATATAAAATTGTCTTCTCGACATTTTTTATTAGTACTCCGGACCAGATTTAGACATTTGTTTCTTGTATTTTCTCATTTCTCGCATTTTTCATTTTTTTGTGTCGGTTTGTTTTTCGCCTGGTTGATCAAAAATTATGCATTATTATTGGCTGTTTTTTATCCTAACAAAATCGGGTAAATGCACGCTGTAACCATTCACAAACTGATTAATTCTTTATCGAGTAAATCCTTTGTTTCCTTCAAGAAGATTAATACAAGATTAATACCGGTTTTGACGTGACCAAGGACATCAATTACGTGTCTATTTTTCAATTAGATTGTTTTCCTGATATATGTTAAACTATTTTTCATTATTAAAACCCAAGTCTGGAATTGAGTCCGTAATGAGAACATTAGAACAATAATCATGACACAATTACCATCAATACCTACAACAGTAACAACTAAAAATACTAACAAAGCGGCAGGCCAACAACGCACACCACCACCATCACCACCATCTTCATCATCTTCACTGTCATCATCCCCATCATCATCCTCATCCCCATCATCATCCTCATCCCCATCATCATCCTCATCATCCTCCTCATCATCCTCCTCACCATTATCAGTTGTTGACCGCCTTAAAGGTTCTCGGGATAATACTTTAGAAAATGGAAATAAAATTACAAATGGAATCAACAGTACGAAAAATTATTTTTTGTTACTTTGCATAATTTCGTTTTAATAATTTTTTTGCATAAAGACGAATCCACGCTACGTCGCCGACTTTCAGCAGCAAACCAACAAAGTGCCGTTAATCGACAATGTGACGACGCCTCGTCAGAATCTGACTCTCTTCGGCAACAACAACGAGAACAACAAGAAAAAACACGATCACGCTTGATCATTGATGCGACCATGGGATTTTTACGCTTAATCATTGATGCGACCATGGGATTTTTACGCTTAATCATTGATGCAACCATGAGGTTTATCAGCAAGCTTACGCAACAAGGATTGGAATTGCAACGAATTAGTCGAAAAAGATTGATGACTATTTCATTAATTGCAATTATTTTTATTGCGTCCTTTTATTTTATTTTCGTTCAGGTATTTAATAAATTTTTGGCAATTTTGTTTTTATATTTATATATAATTAATAAAATGGTTTTACTCGATAGGTTTTTAACAACGAATCTGGAAATGATGCAGAAAACGAATCTAAAAAGCATCCCGATTCCCCATATGAAGACATTGCAAACACAGCAAACACTTTGTCGGATAGAATAGCTAAACTCGAGATTCCTGGTATTTATCAATAATAAAAATCTCCTTTTTTTTGCCATTATAAATCAACTGATGGCTTTTGCTATTGTAGAGACTTCAGTCATGGATCGTCACCGTGTCGTGTTCCGTGATCTAGCAATCATTCTTAAGAAAAGTGATGTCATTTCTGCGAATGGTCGTCCGATTTCTGATCGTCTTTTCAGTCTTGCCAACGAAATCCGCGAAGCTGGTGACGAATTGGGCGATTTCAGACATCACGCTTCAAACTTTTTCTACGCCTTGCACACCGAAATGTCTGCAATTCAAGAGAAACTAGAAGAGATTAATCGAGTTGAAAATAGCTTCTTCTCTTCGATAGAAATTAAATTCCGCATTACTGAAAATTTCGGAATGTTGGGCGGTCAATTTCGCTCAAGCGCCGACGATGAAGGGTTTATACAGGATCGCCTCAAAACTTTGGAAGATATGATACCCGATTTTCAGGCACAGTTAAAGAAAGTTATGGATTCGTTGGACAAAATTCAAGAGAGTGCAACTAACACACATGAATACCTGATCGATGGGGAACGAGAAGCGGAACAGGTTCTGAAACGCGCATGGTTCGGTGCAATTAGAGATTACGAAGATCGTGTCAGGGCGGAAAATGAATTAGGACAAGTTCGTCTTGCGATCAAAATGTTGCGTAAGATGGCGTCGAACCTTGTAAACTTTGAATCTTTTTTGAAACAATATCGACGTCAAGTACAGGATGTTAAATCACAAATTCACGTAAATCGAGCAATGTTAAAACCCACTAAACAAGATATAAAATATCTAAAGAATAGCGTTAAAAAACTAGAAGAAAATCATCGACAATTTGACTTAGCACAGAATCGGCTAGATGAGAAAGTCTCTACCCTCGATGAAAAAGACTTATGGGACGTTGACGATTATAGTTCTCGAAATAGAGATTGCACTGAGTTTCAAATTTTCTTCGAGAAACCTCAAGCCTATTTACGCAGTATTCGTACCTGGAGTTCGCATGGTATCAATGCATTGGGTTTCATTTTCTCGGATGACAGTGCAGAGATTTTCGGGATGCCAGGAGATGCAACTCCTCACGATTTCCCTTGGCAAAAAGGAGAGAGACTAAGGGAATTGATATTCAGTTTTGGAAGTATAGTTTATGGAATTGAATTTGTGACTAATAGTGGTCGAGTGAGTGGATGGTATGGTAATCCAGAGCTTGGGAACAAATATGTGATTCGAGGTGAAGGAAAAGAGTGGAACGGTGTGCATGGAAGTTTTTCGAAATATTTGTGTAGCATAGGTGTGAAAAATCAGTAAAACTTTCCCTGAACTTTTGCTTTTTATTATTTGATAAATATACGTACGTAACTATTTATTTATATATCAAAATGTAAAAAAAATATACATTCATTTACATGTATCCAATTGCAATAGATTAAATTTAACTATGAATAAGACCTGCTTTTTTCATAATTTACCAAACTGACGTTCTGTTAAAAGTCATTTCTCGTTCATCAATTAATATTGAACGTCGTTGATTGGAGGTGGATATTGAAGTGGATATTGAAGTGAACTCTGGTGCAAATTTCTTTTCCCTCCAATTCGCGCTAGAAAAATTATTGTTACCGTTACTACATCCTAGAAGATAAGATAAATCTGAATAAAAAACATTAATGGCATAGGAAGATGAAGATTTTTGTTGTTGAGATACGATTAAAGAGTCAAGGGGAAAATTTGAAGCCATCGGGAAATTAAAAGTCGGAAATAATGGTTGTGAAGGGGTATGTGCTTGATTCGGAATATATAATTCCTCATCAAGTATTTCCATGTCTAAACAAGTTCGTGAATTCCAGCCAGGAATTAAATCTTCTCTTGTATCTGCGCAAATTTTCAGCTCAGAATCATCTTTTTGTTTTTTGTTACTTTTACGATTATTGTTATTATCGTTGTTACTGTATTTCTTTGGTTTTAGATAATAAGATTTTGTGGGGGGATTCGTTTCTTCAATAGATACGGATAAATGATTACTTTTTGAAGTATTCAGGTTGTTTGCGGACGATTCGGTGGGAGTTTTGCCGAGCGAAGATAATGATTTCTTTTTTTTTAATGTGGCGAGTGAAAGTTTTCGAAATCTAAAAATTTGTTTATCAGCGTTAGCTACCGATTGCATGATTGACATGATTGAAAAAACTGTGAAAAGTTATACTTACAATCCTGGTGTATGTGCTACTTTTTCATCATTCTTCGAATACTCGGATGAGACGATAACATCCTCTTTCAAAGTCGTTAATGAGGATTTCTTGGTAACTAATTTTTGATTGTTTTCCATGTTTCTAACCAAATGTAGTATCCGTATTTATGAGGTTGTTGACTGATAAGAACGAACTGCAAAAAAATAAAGGAATGAATTTTTTCACAGATATGGTAGTTTACAGGTATTTATTTAAAGCCGTAACAAACAAACGTTAATCTGAAAGAACTTCCAATTTGACCTTTATATACTAACGCTAAGCCTATTTCTATCAGTTCCGTCGCACAACAATTTTACCATTATTAATTATTGTCGCTGTTGTTACATTTAATTTATCACTACACATACATGAACATAATTTGCTATTTACGTGATTTTTAATTTCCATATCGAGTTAAATAGGTCTATTTTTAGCCCCTTTTTACTATATATGATTTTGGAGAATCATGTTGTTTCTACAAGGATTGCTGCCCGATTGGGCTTACTTGGATCTCTAATATCTTGTTTTGCATCAATAGCAATATAGAAAATTCTGGCTATATGTATAAGAATTTTGCTAGGGGACCTGAAAGAATTTAAAAAGCTAATTTTATAAATTAATTTCCAGTAGAAAACCCATTGTTTCTTGAAAGAACTCATATGAGAAAAATCTGCACGAACTAATGCACACAAAGTTTCACTTTCTAATTTTAGATGACATTATTTATTGGAAGAAAGACTATTAAGTTGCTAATGAACATGGTATACGAGTATTAAGGTTACTATGAAATATAACGTAGATATTAATACATGCCAATAGGAAGAATTATTTACTTTTGGACTAGAAAGGAACGAGAATTTCTCATTTTACCCAGTGACAGTTGTTTTCTATTTATAAAACAACATCAGCAATAGTTCCATGTTGAGCTTTCATATTAATTAATCGTCTAATTTATGCCATTGTTTATGTGTTAAAATGAAGGTGCATTTGGTAAGCATTGCTGATTATCTCGATATAAAATAGGATATACCGTTTCTTAATCCCTTCGAACTGCAAACATTATGAAGCGAAAAAAACTAAGGCATTAGTTACAATATATGGCGTGTAGACCAATCATTGAGCCGCTTCTAATGATGTAAACTTGCCACTTTGATCTATCGTATATGACGATTAATGTATTTTTTTTCCAAAGTTTATGGTGTTTGGTTAATGATTAACCGGTTAACCGATTAAACATTTAGTAATACATGTAGTGGTCAACGAAATTATGCTTAACTGATATCTGTTTTACACTTCTACATAAACATTTGAGCTTTCCTGCAAATTTAGTGATGCAGGGAATCATTAATATAGCGATCATGAACAAATTATTATTTGTAAATGAATGATAATTATGTCTGAAATGTAAAAGTTTTAGATTTTAATAGTATATACGTAAAGTATAAATTATAAATTATAAATTGGTTAGATTTTTAGGCGGTTCCAATCACTACTAAAAAATTCATTCAAGAATTGTAAAAATAGTTGTTCCCAAATCGCGTAATATTTTGTTTTATCTTTATATGCTGATCTTAGGCTGATTGATTTTTTTTATAAAACTTCTCAAATAATTTTCGTATTGACTTTTTACAAAGCTTACAAAAAAGCACAATTATCACACTTTGAATTTTTGGTAAATATTTCAAAATCGTGCAATGTTTCGGAACATCGAGGTTAGTATCCTAGCAACTACTCGACAAATTTTATCGAACCCAATTTCAAATTTCCTGATTGGATTCTGAATTTTCATTACATCCGACTAGAGTCATGGTAAGGATAAGGTATTGGGTGAGAAAAACAAGATTATACGTAAAATTGCTTTCCCGACATTTTTAATTAATAGCCCAAAACAGATTTATGCATCAGGTTTCTCGTACAGTCTAAGTAAGACTTTATATCCTAGAATATTAATATTTAATATATTTTTTTTCTATATTTTTTTTAATATTAATGTAATAATTTATTTATTAAAAAAATTTCCAATGAATATAAATTTTTTTACTTTTTTTAAATATTTTTTGGAATTAGCTAGATATAGATCGGGGAAACAATTTTTTTTTAATTGATTTAATAATGTAGTTTTCGAATTATTGAGCTTTGTTTAGTGGCGATCCCTAACCGAACCGTTTGTAAAAAACCTTTAATATCTCAAAAACTTTATTAAGAAACTGGCTTAGAGTATTATAAAAAAGTGCTCAGCTGATCGATTTACAGTTACCATAAAATTTCAAAAAAGTAGACATTTTCTGTGATTTTTAATGTTAATTTAAACGTCAATCGGCCGGGGGAACTGTAATATATATCACTTTTTTTCATCTCTTTGAGTCGGATGTTTTGCCGGGCCGATCAGACATTTGTGCATTCTTATTGAAAAAAATTGTGCACTCCTATTGGATGAATTACAGATTAGGAAATTGAAATTGGGTTCGATAAAATTTGTCCAACTACTCCAGCTCACCTACGATCGATTTTCCCTTCACGTGATTTATTATCCGATTTTCCAAGCCACAACAATTACCCGAAACACTCCGTACTAGGTTATACGTAAAATTGTCTTCCCGTAATTTTTTGCATTGTTCATTTTCTTGTGCGGATTTGTTTTGCCGGGTTGATCAAAAATTTGCGCATTCTCATTGGTTTCGAGATCGTCAGGAATCGATTCTGGCCATCCGATATGCCCTTAAAATTATGCTATATACTATACATAAGTCTGTTCTGATTCTAATCCTAACCCTAACTCTAACTGAATCTTTAATTAACACATGCATGATTTTTATCGGATGGCCGGCATCGGGATCGGAATCATGTGACACTTTTTTGCCACGGCTAGGTAATCGAGATCGATGTGGATTTCGAAACAACGAACAGTCTCGAATGTTGCGTAAGGCTCAAAATAAAATTTGGAAAATTATTTTTTGTGCCAGGATATTATTATTAGATTGTTCTATCCGATGTTGAAACCATTTCCTGCAACAGCAGCAAGCCGAGCCGAGTGTCATCATAAAAATAAAGTCTTTAATTAATATCTTGACTATTTTTAGTGTCGCAAGTGGGATTCTTTATCCTGAAACTGCTTACGTTGTTTCAAGTTTTGGAATCCCAAATGATATAGCCAATCACAAATCCCAAAACGATACACGTCAATAATCGACGTGGATAAAAATGAACTATATAGCTAATATTTATTGATTTCCACAGATTTAAAATTTTTATGACGTGCAATTTCATTCATCAATTTTTTGTTGAAAATATAAATATGAATTTAGATGGTTGTTGAAATACTGTATATAAAAATAATCAGTAAAGTCTAATGAAAAAATATTATTTCATGAATTAGAATTTTTATTTTTATTGACCATTTTTACATGATCTATTAATAACACCACCACCATTAGCAAGGATAACAATTAATTTTTTATCAAATGAAACGGACACTTTTAGACGCGGTATATTGACGTCCAATGATCGAATTCAAACATAAATAACATCAATCGATTCGCCTAGACGAGGCGAATCGAATGATAATATTTACGTTCAAAATGACTAACTGGATGACAAGATACCGCGACCCAAAAAGAAGATTTTAAAAAAAATGACTCAGTTGCTTTGGATACATTATCTCAAAGTTCTGTGAGCAGTTTCAGACAAAAATACAACCATTCGATCCGCTTGGACGAGGCGAATTAAATGGCGGTATTTACGTTCACTGGATGTCAAGTTATCATTTTCGAAAGATAATTTTTCACTGTCTTTTTTTAGGTCGCAGTATCTTGGTATCCAGGGATCAATTTGATCACTGAATACTAAGATATCGCGTCCAACAGTGGTCGTTTTATTTTATAAAAATTAATGCCTAATCGATTATTCTTGCTAATGGTGGTCAAACCAAGTACTAATCTATGTGAAAAAATGGTCAATAAAAATTAGATTTTGTGTTAATTTACTTTATAACGATAGTGTCCACATAATCAGTTCACTATCCATCAAGGAATGAATATCATTACTAAGGGGAGTGACAATATTAGCTAATATCCATTTTATTATATGGACCCCCTCCTCCCCTCCTGAGATTTTTGAGATTTTGCTATTCCCCTAGAACATTAGCTAATATCTGTCACTCCCCTAATATGGAATAGGGCTGTTAATCTTGGGTCAAAACGGACCAATCCTCGTGAAGAAGGATTGTTGGAACCGACAGTCCTATTAAATTCCTGTAATATGCATGGAAATTAATTTTTATCGAAATTCCATACCATGTGACTTCCAATGCAATTTTTGCTGCACTAATTCCATCCTTTTGATACAGTGTTAGTTCTTTTCCGTAACACATGAATGCGATTTATAGACACAGCTATGTGTCTAAAGTAACACACATACATGCAATCAAAATCTGAAACTCTACAACCAATCTCTTTAACAGGTATTTTTAATTCGGTCCCAATCAGTTTGGGAATCACGGTTCGGTTCAGTCTTTCCAAAGACCAATGGACTTTGGACCAATTGACAGTCCTACTCATTACATCTAAACATTTTGTACCCACTCAAGTTGTGTTTGAAAAATTCACAGCAGCTGCATGAACATAAAGGTAAAAGGTGAGGAGACGGATATCTCAGGTCTCAACCAAAAAATCAAACGGTCTGCAAAATGCTTACTTGGTCTCACAGCCAATTCCGCAACGTTCAAGGCCGAAGAATTGAGTAGAAAAATGATCATCCAAACGAAGCCTACACAAGCAAACCTGCAGGCAATCTAAACATTTATAGCAGACATGATAATAAATTCAAATTTGTGAGAAACTACAGAATGACTTTCTTGTAACATTCATCAATAAAGTGTTGGATGTGATACCATAGGCAAGCCCGGTTCTCTTCATCGAGTTTCATTTTTTGGGAGGAGCGCAGGTGATAATCAGAGAATTTAATCATGAATAAGTATGGCATCACTAGCGGGTTAAGAGTTATGAATCGCTATACCCCATCACTCTTTCTTAGTTTAGGTTGTAAATGCCGTTTGTGTAAATGTAATAACTCACTCCCAGTATTACGTAGCGATTAAGTATTAAATTTTAGGATCGTGACGATATCGTTATTTTACATAACAATAGATATAAGCAGTGACGTTTCAAATGACACTTTATATAGGCATTGGAATACACTACATAAATAGAGTTACGTTACATAAATACGTATTAATCAGAAAATTATTTTTAATGCAAAAATACATATTCTCAATTCAATTTCGAAATCGTACCTAACATAATATTTATGCGTTTTTCGGTATAAAGAATCTATTTTCTTGTTTAGATATTTCATTTTAAGATTTTTTGTCTTAATAATACACTTAATAAAAATTAACCGCAAGAAAAGCTTGTTTACGTATATTTTTCATCAGGTGACCCCCAGGTAAGATCTTTACCCAATCAAAATGCTTAATTTTGTACTACTTAAGACTAAGCTCTACCCCCACCCCCTAAAATATTAGCTGTAGGTAGATTTTACAATAGAACTCCAAAGCAGAATTCTAAGATTAGCGTTAGTTTTGTACTCATAATTTTTAATCATTGTTATTGGACACCAAAGCAACAAACAATAGTAATAGCGATAACTTTAAAAGTTGTTACACTACGTAATAAAATCATGTACATGTACCATGTTCAAAAACACAAACCATCGGCCCTTTTTTCCAGCACTCAGCTCATATTATGTGTCGCATTTTCTTTACGATACGAACAAGAAATTAGAATTTCTATTCTTAATACAAATTAAAATGTCAAATCTTTATGAATGATGTGAAAATTAAAATTTGATTAGAAGCATTCAATACATATATCGGTATATATAGAACATCGACATGTAAATCGGCTTTGACAAAGCAAATGTTGAAATTCGAATTGGATTTACCTAACACAAATTGGATAAACAAACAAAAAAATTAAAAATTATGTGGAAACTCCGTTACGTAATTAAAAGAGTAAATTTTATAGGGTCATTTGTTTGTGCTTGAATATTTTTATTCACAAAGCAACTCACCACGTTTTGTTGTCGCCAAGAGATTAACATTTATCATTATCGTTATCATTACATTTTCGTGCTGCAAATAATACATGTATCCATAAAGTTAACGCTATTTACAGTGCGCAAAAGGAGATTTTCTCTATGCTGAAATATTTGCTCATTTTGAAAGAGATACGTACATGTAAATTTGTGTCATGTTTTTTAGATTCTCAAATTTTTATTTGCTATCTGCGGAAACTCTATAATGATAACGATAACGATAACGATAACGTTTTTTTTCAAGTTGGCTGAAGTTTAAACAAATAGTTACATGTAAGCTGCAGAGTGACATTTGTTAGATCGCCAAACAATGTACAATATTTTCTCACGTGTTTAATCTCACAAATTAGATTTAACCTCTACACTTATATATCAAGGAATAATAGTTTAAATAATACATTTAGTAATATGTCAATTTAGCTAAGGGACAAGTCCCAATACTACATTCATTACCGTTACCGTTACCATAAAAATTAAATAATGGGTAGACCAGTTTCGAAAATTGATCATCAGACATCAGAGAGCGTTAATCAACAGCCTCGTAAAGGTTCTATCTTTAAGTATACAAGAAAAAGAAGCGATGCTGCTAAAAGTGTCGCAAGTAGCGATATCGAATTATCACAACATTGCGACGTAGCTAATACAAACTATTTTCCGGTAAGATAAAGAGAGAGAAATTTTTAATTACTTCTTGCATATATTCACGCTTTTTCCTTACAGCCTACTTATGAAGACGAAATACTGCGGTTCCAATTGCAACATTATCTTATACGTTTTGCGTGGGAATCGAATTTTTCAAGTCCAGTAATTGAAAGATTAACTGAAGGAGCTAAAGTATTAGACGTTGGGTAATTAACTATTCTTTCGATAAGTTTTTATTGTGCTACTGTCTACGCGTGACTTACTAAAAATTAAAATTTATGTTTTAGATGCGGGCCAGGTACATGGTAACGAGCCTAAATTTTATTAGGTAATTATAAGAAACTTTAACAACAATAATATAACTTTATAACTATTCTTGTAGGCTATTAGAAATGGCCACAGATTATCCTGCTTCATCGTTTGTTGGTGTAGACACATCACCGATGTATCCAGCCGATATAAGACCAAAAAACGTAAAATTCCAGATAGAAAATATTCTTGATGAATTATCTTCTCCCAATGATACATACGATTTTGTTCGTATACAATTCTTGTCCACCGCATTTACAACAGACCAATGGGTGAATACAGTTATTCCGGAATTGATTCGTGTGTGTCGTCCAGGCGGTTTTATAGAGTTTATGGAATCAGATAACAAATTGATAGACGCGGGCCCCTCGACTGAATTCATCATGGAATCACGTATTATTTATTAATCGATATTCTATGTAAACTTTTGTTGTTTGGAAAGCCTTACGTGTATTTATTTCGTTACAATTTTGTGTTTTGCCTCTAGTAATATTTCTGGCCACTAAAGGAATAGGAAACATTACTCCATATTTGCAAACTTATCTCGCTCAAACAACTAAGTTAGCTGGAATATGTTATGAGAATAAATCGATTCCTATCGGGAGATGGGGAGGTAAACTCGGAGAATTGGTAAGTTTATTAGTATTTGTTATATGCATTACTGCCGAAAAATCCTATTAAATAAACTATTGCTTTAGGGAGAACAAGTAATGAAACAAACATTCGAAGTAGAGAAAATTCCCCTTTCGCTGTTTTTGAAAATCACCCATGAAGAGTACGGAAAGATAACGCGTTCAGCCACTCGCGAATTCAGCGAATACAAAGCGTTAATTCCTACTTGTCGCATATGGGCTGAAAAAGTATAAAAGAAATTGATTTTATGTATCCATCTACAGCACATGTATATTGTTATAATTATGAAAATCAAAGAAACATATGTATCGATAATATGGAAATAGGTAAAGTTAATCTGAACCTAGCGCTAGTGCTAGTCTAAATTAGTCTTTAAGTGAACTTCTGGTCCAAATTGTAACACAAACTTATATGGGATCCGTACATAGCGATAGTCCACAAATCGGTTACCAAATTACGTAAGTCTGCAAATCAGGTTACTTTATATCAATATCGATATGGAATTAATTCTTGTATTATTCAAAACGAGTCTTGATAATGATATTCAAGATGAATCTATTTATTCTTCTAGCAAAATTGCTTCAAATAATTATTCTCAAAATGAAACATCTATAATATATTCGACTAACAAAATAATACAGAACATCAAATCATTATGAAATTTTTTACCGTTTTTTATTTTGTAACTCGTGTCATACACGTTATGGAAAAAATAGGTATTAGTACAATTTAGTGATGATAAATGACTTTAAATAATGATCTGACTAATCTAAAATTAGAATTAAACTTTGTGATGTTATTATATAGCGATAGTACGGGACAGCATAAGATATCCACTTTTTTATAGAAGCGCCAAATTTTGATAGTCATTATATAGTAATGCTCTATTACACGACTTAATGTAGCCAATCAAATAATTATGTTATATTTCAGTCAATTTTATAAAATTAAAATTTTATAATTTCTTCAAAACTAAAAAACTAAAACAAATCAAGAAAAATATTTTTTTAATCTAATATAAAAAAGATATTTTAGCAAAATTAAAAAACTATAAATAATATAAATATTAATATATTTATTATAGTTAAAAATCCAATTTAATTTTATATAAATTATAATGATATAATAAGTAATAAAAGAAAAAAATAATTATTTTGTATATTATATTCAAAATATTAATTTTGAAAGAGTGCAAGATATTTTGATAAAGTAAAGAAAATATATAATATTTCAATAACTAGCAATTGAAATTATATAAAAATATTACTTTTTGATTTATCATGTCAAATAATGATATTTTATATAATATTAATTATTAAATATTGAGATATTATTTTTGTTTTTATATATTATTTCTGTTTTTATGAATTTCAAGTTATTTACATATTATTTATATATTTATATTAATTAAGTTTTAATAATGGGAGAGATTAAGATTGATACAGATTTAAAACTTATAAAATTTCATATATATATTATATAAAATCTGAAAAAAAGTTTATAATACAAGTAACTTAAATTAATAAAATTTTGTATAAATTTTATTAAAGATTGCAAATTGAAATATTCAAAAATTAAGAGAAATAAAAAATTCTAAAAAAAATAATTTTGCAGTTAATTTTAAGAAAATATATTTTTATACTTTAAAAAATATAAATTTAAATTTTTAATTAAATCTATAATTATAAAATAATAATTAATTAAAAAAATATAATTTTGTTAAATTTTTAAATAAAAAATAATAAAAATCAAAAAATTCAATGTTTATTAAAAAATTTAACAAAATTATATTTTTTTTAATTAATTATTATTTTATAATTATAAAATAAATTTAATTAAAAATTTAAATATATAATTTTTAAGATATAAAATTATATTTTCTTAAAATTAATTGCAAAATTAATTAATAAAAATATATTAATATTAATATAAGTATTATTAGTATTAATACAAATATTAATATTATTAATACAAATAAAATTTCATAATAAAATAAAATATAATTAAATTTTTTTTAATTAAATTATAATATAAATTAATCAATAAATAATAATTAAATATTTATTAATATTATTATTGAAGTTACTAGACGTTCAAAAAATTCCTAAAAGTAAAATTAATATTAACTAAAATATTAATAAAAAATTCTAATTATAAAAAATCTATTAAAAATATAAATTAATTATTAATATATTATTAATATATTATTTTATATTATATAAATTTATTTAGTTAATTTCAATAAATTTTTAATTTTGACTCTTATTAAAATATTTCAATGATAATATTAATTTATATTATGATAATGTAAGAATACTTTCTTACATAAAGAGTATTAAGATAAATTTATTAATTGTTATAAATAAATTATATCAATTAAGATACTTTTCAATTTTAATTTTAATAAAACTTATTTCTTTATTTATTAAATAGTGAAAAGATTTAAAGAGTTATAGTACAGAACAGAAATATTTAAATACATAATTAATATTAAACAAATTACAAATAAATTAATAATAAAATAGAGAGTGATTGATTCTAAATTATTAAGCTTAAAAATGATATATCTCCAAATTATACTATATTTAATTAGCTATATAAAAAATATAAATAATAATAAAAAGTAATTAATGTGAATTTAAAAATAATAAAAAAAAGAAAAAAGAAAAGGAATTAAAAACAAGGTGTATCTAAATTAATAATATAATTTATATTTCATATCTAATATAATTAGTAAAATATTAAGAAGTATTAAATATAAAATTGTATTAATTTCTAATATGTTATACAAAAAATAATAAATATAATACAAGAAAATACAAGAATATATGAAAATTGTTACTCAAGTTTTATAAAATTACTAGAAAAGAATTACTTAATTTTACTTTTATTTAATAATATAATATTTTTAATAAAAATAAAAAATTATAAGATTATTCAAAATTAAAGCAAACTAAATAATATAATTATATAATCATGATCAAAAATATCTGATTTTCCTAATTTTCATAAATCATATATAATGCATCAAATTTTTTCAAGTACAAAGAATATTACAAATACTATTTATTAATACTTTTTTATAGATTAATAGAACTTTTATATTGAATATTATATATTCATGTTCAAATATAATAAATTAGTTACTTTATAATATAATATCTCAATATCTAGTAATTAAATTTGAATAAAAATATTATAATTAATTTGTCTAATTTAGACAAATTAAATGATAATATTTTAACTCAAATTTAATTATTAGATATTGAAATATTATATTTTTAAGTAATCAATTTATATTTGGTAATTAATTTTTTATTAGAAATGATCATTAACAAAATGAATTAATTAATTTAAGATATATATAATATTTTGATTTTTAGTGATTTGAATTTGCATTAACTAGAAAATTAAATGATATTATTTTTGTTCAAATCAGATTATTAAAGATCAAGATATTATATTCTAAATTAGCTGTTAATTAATTTTTATTAATATCGAAAAAAATGAAACTGTTACTTTTAAGATATAATATTTTAATTTGAACAAAAATATTATTATTTAATTTGTTTAGTCAAAACAAATCAAATAGTAATATTTTCATTCAAATTGAATCACTAAATATTAAGAATTAGAATATTAAATATTGAAATGTGTATTATAAAATAACTAAATATATTTATTATATTGTTATAATTTAAATATTCTATAATATAGTTATTTTATTAATATTTAATTATTTTTATTATATTTAATATTTTTTATAATTAAATTTATTTAATTTAATTATTTATTATTTAATTATTTCATTTATTATATTTTTATTGGATAAATTTAAAATCATGCGACTTTTATATTTAATTTCTATATATAACTTGTATATGTAATTTTACATGTAATTTATTATTTATTATTTATTATAATTTCATAATTTACATAATTTCTATAATTTTTAAAAAATTCTAAAAATATTATAAACTCTGTATTCTTTAATATTTTTATATATAAATCAATTAAATAAATTTTATATTTTATTATTTCTATAGTTTTTATATAAATTTTTATAAATATAATATTTATTAATAGAAAATATTAGATATAAATACAGTTGATCTTGTAGCTATAAAAAAGCAATTAGTTTAATTAATAACTTAAATAAAATATCTTTAAATAAAATATTTATTACTTGATTATTTTTATTAAATCTAATAAACAAATAAATTAATTATATGAAATTACATTATTATATTTGCATTTATTATATACTATTGAACAATTATCAAATTGCTATAGAATATCAATACTATATTATTATAAAACTGTCCCATACTAACTTTATAAAAAAATAAAAAAATAATAATTAGGAAAAAATTCAGTTTTTTAGTTCTGGAAAATCATTAGTTTTGCTAACAAATTTCTGAATTAAAATCTGATAAAAATCTGATTAAAAATTCAGAAACTTTGAAATGTGATATTTTATTATCTACTAATCCAATCTGAATCAAAATATCAATATTCAATTCATCTAGTCTTAACAAATCAAATGGTGATATTTCAGTTCAGATTGGATTAGTGAATCATGAGATATCACGTCTCAAAGTTATTAGATTTTTAATTAGATTTTTATCAAATTTTAATATTAACAAAACTAGTGATTTTTCAAAACAAAAAAACTGAATTTGTTTTTATTATTGTCTTTTATTTTTTTTACAGAATAACTAGATATAATATTTATTAGTAATAGTAAGAATCTATCTTGATAATAGAAAAAAACACATTGTGTGATGATCTTAAAGTATATCAATTACAATAAGTTTGAGTAACTGTAAATTTCTGTTATTTGAAATTGATTGAATAATTATGTTATGATAAAGAGTTCAATTATAACAATATGAAAGTTTATAAATATATAATATCTAATATAGAAATTTTATTAATTTATAAAAATATTAATAATTAGTATTTATAATATTCCTTGTACTCAGAAAAATTTGATATATTAAATATGGTCTTTGAAAAGTTAAGATAGATTAAATACTTTTAATTATGATTATATTGTTACAGTTGTAACATAAAAATCGTTAATTCCAAAAATAGTCGAAAAACATAAAATATTTAAAAATATT